AATCTATCTGAGGTCATTCCAGCAAATATATAACTGGAATGACAAGATAAAAGGATTAGATTGTTAAAACATAGACAAACTAATATATCCTGTTTGTTTATAAAATTCTAGTTTCTATGATAGGCACATATAATCTCATTTTTTTTTTCTTTAGAGATTTTTGCCTTAGGGCATGTGCGCTCACCAGAGACACAGGCAGAAGTGGTGAGAGGGAAAATTAAGAAATCATACCTCAGGGGTGATGGCAATGCTGCAGTCCTTTCTCTTTCATTCTCCTCCTGGGATCTTGGACACTCATGCACACATGCCCAGAGTGAATTTCAAGTCACCGGGTCCAGTACTTGAACTGTTGGCCATGTGGGAGTCCAGCAACATAACTGCTGTCATCTGTAGGCCCCTAATCTCATTTAGTTAAAAAAAATTCTATGTATTTAAAAAAAATTATTAATTTAATTTTATTTATTATTATTACTTTTTAGATGGGGGAGAGAGAGAGAGAGAAAGAGAAGGAAAGTGAGAAAGCAAGCTGCCAGGTCTGGGACTGGAAGTGCAGTTGGCCCTGTGTGGCATCCAGCACCTTAACCACCACATCACCTGCTAGCTCCAACTTTGATTTTTTTTTTTCTTTAAAGCAATTTTGCTATAGGGCATATGTGCTTGGTGGAGAGATAGAGACAGATAGAGAAACAGAAAGTGAGAAATCACTCCCTGAATGGACAGCCATGCCACAATCCCTTCTCCATGCTTCTCTCAGGATTTTGGACACGCATGCATACATGCCTAGTGTGTGTTTCAAGTTGCTGGGTATGGGACCTGAAACATAATTGACCATATGGGAGTCCTGTGACTTAACCACTATACCACCTTCTGGCCCCAATTTTGATATTTTTAATCGAAACTATACACACACACACAGACACACACACACACACACACATTTTACATACCTAAAAGAGTCTGGGTGGTAAATAGTTAGGAATTTGTTCTGTAAAATTATTATTATTAATTTTTTTGAGAGGTTTTTGTTATAGGGCACATGCGCTCGCCAGAAAGACAGAGAGAGACAGAAAGACAGAAAGCGAGAAATCACCCCCCATGGGGGAATGGCCACACCACAATCCATTCTCCTCCATGCTGCTCTCAGGATCTTGGGCATGCATGCACACACGCTTGGCGTGAGTTTAAGCCACCGGGTCCGGGACTTGAACCACGGTCGACTACATGGGAGTTCAGTGACATAGCCATTACGCTAACTGCTGGTCCCATTATTCATTTTTTTTAAAAGAGTTTTTTTTGCTATAGGGTACATGTGCTCACTGGAGAGATAGTGAGAAATCACTTTCTAGGGGGGATGGCCACACTGCAATCCCTTCTCCATTCTCCTCCTGGGATTTTGGGCATGCATGCACACTCTCCTGGAGTGATTTTAAAGCCACTGGGTTTGGAACTTGAACTGTTGGTCATATGGGAGTCTAGCAATGTAACTGTTTTACCGTCTTCTGGTCCCAAAAGGAATATACTTTTTGGTATGTATGATATATTTTACAATTAAAAACATAAAGCCAGTCAGATAATCCAACAAATTCATATTGAAGACAACTGTCCTTTGTTCTATCCCTTCCTATTCCAAACAATTTTAAATTTTAATCTTATTTTATCTAGTACTTTCTTATTCCTAAATAGCACACATATACAGGTATTTCTATTTCCTTTTTATTCATGGTACAACATGTGCACATTCATGAGAAAGAAAGAGAGAGGGAGAAGCACCTTCCACAGGGTTTGGTCACGCCCCAGTTGCCTTTCTTCAGTCCTCCATCTTGCTAGGATCTTGGGCACACATGCATTTGCCTGAGGTGTTTTCAGGCGGATTGGTCCAGGTACTTGATCTATGATTGGCACGTGGCTTCCAGCTCCATAGTCCAGCACACTACCAGCTGTGCCACAGAGGCTACTTGTACTTCTCGATTTTTTAGTCATAGAGATAGTCTATTGACTTTTTTTCTATGGAAAAGGAGGATTTAGCTTTTTCTATACCTCCTCTTCTCACATACATTTAACTTCTTCCTATCCTTTTGATAAATTTAAATCACAATTTTAATTTAAATCAATATTTATGACAAACACTATCTGGACTGTATAGGTATTACTTATGGCTAAGTCACATAGTGTACTATTATTATTCTCTTGTATAACTCATTGTTTTCATTAGTTAAATTCATTTGTTTGCTTAGATTTCTGCGCTTTTATTACTAATTCAGCTCCAAGTTTTCTTATCTATGTAAAAATTACCTCCAAATATGTTTGTGTGCTATGTGTTTCATAGTTATCTTAGGGAATTTCTTTGAAGTCCTTAGTTATCCTCCAAGTTAATTGTTCTGGAAGCCCGACACATAGCTTTTAATGCCTGACCACTACGTTGGATTCCTGAGTTCCTGTATCTAACGTCTTTCTCTTGGTTTTCTCCCTCATTTTGGGAGAGCACATCTTCCAGGAGTTTTCTAAGAAAGGTAAATAATTTAGAAACTCATTTTTATGAAAAAAATCTATATTCTGCTTTCATATTTTATTGATAATTTTTCTGGGCATAAATTTCTGGTATAATTTTCCCTAAAACCTCTGAAGATATTTCTCCATTGACTTCCAGCTGCAAATGTGCTGTTCAGAAGTTTCCTGCTACCCCATTCTTCACGTCTGTGATCTGTTTCAGGCTCATCTCTTTGTTGTGGTGTTCTTGATATATCCTGGTCAAACAAATCTTGAAAGTATTATCAGTTTAGAATTAAGCTGAATTATATTCTAGAGGTTTATCATATCTTTTAGGTAGTCTTAATTTGGGTCATGAATCTTGTGTGAGGGCTGATTCTTGATTCTAAATCCTCAGTGGAAATTTCTCTCCTTTCCATACTTGACTAAGGTAGAAATGGTCAATTTTCCTTGTGGTTCTTTAGAAATAGGGGGTTTATTTCTAATTCACCCTTGCACTGAAAGGTTAGACTTTTGGATGCCCAGAGTTCTGATAGGAGCAAAATCTATTATATTTCTCAGTGTGGAGTATCTCAGAGCTTTATTCTTGATCCCATTTCTCAAAATTCTGTGCAAATCCAAGGCCTCACTCAACTGGTTCAACAAATGCTTTTGGGATAACAGTATTGTGCTTACCTTTCTATTCAATCTGTTCCTGTCTTTACTCAATATTTGGCTTGAGGCTTCTTTACTACCTTATCTGGTGAGTTTAGGATTGTTAGACCAATTTTTTTTGGTCTAGAAGTTTCAATTATTTTTAACAGTCCAGAATACTTGTTATATACTGTCTTTCTGGAAATGAAGTCTATGTTAATCTTTCTAAGCCTCAATTTCCTCATTTGAAAAATGAGGATAATAGTAGCATCTAATTCATGGTATTATGAGGAATAAGTGAGATTATTAGTGTGTAGTTCTTATCTCTATGTCTGGCACCTCATTAATGTTCATTTTTTTTAAACATGGAATTTGTAGAGTCTAAACATAAGTTGTTCTGTCTTGTTATATGTTTATAGACGTATGGTGTTGTTAAACTAAACTATGTTGGCCTAAAATGGCTGATGTACTCCCACATTTGGTTCCCTCTAGATAAGCTGAAATTGAACCTGCTAGACCGGTTTTTTATATTTTTGAGCTGGTTACTAAGTTACAGCCAATCATAGTAATCAAATTTCAGTCAGTCACAGAAAACCCACCTTTTAGGCTGTTCGTGCAGCCTAACTTCCACCTGTAACCAAGGATCTCTCTACCTCACTCCCTCACCTACGTTTCTGTATGACACTTTTCCTTTCTTACTGCACACGTCACTTTCCTGTTCCACCCACATTTATTCCTTGTAGACTGCACATCTAGCCATAGTCTCTTGGAAGCCATCTTTTGGGAGGCTACCTGATTTAAATCGCCTGTCTTTTGTTTAAATAAACTCTGTTAAATTTTGGTTTGTCTAAATTTGTTTTTAACAATACACTAACACCAGGGGATAAAGATGTGAATAACCTGAAGTCTTGTAACTTGTTTATCATATTAAGAGATGCAGTTGGTTCTTTCTACTTAAAACATTTCCATTTCAAATGAGAACCAAGTTATTAAACATCATTAGTAGCTTAGATCTTAATTGAGAACATGAAGTTTCTTGAACGGAAATCTTCAATTAATTTGCACACTTCTTGAAACGAAGGAATTTGAAAACATCTCTTCCCCCCATAATCAAATAAGACTCTAAAATGATATAAAGTAGATGCTTTCTCTTAAAACAAATCAGGCTATGTCCTAATTTTTACTGTTTGTTGTTGTCATAAAGAGTCAAATTGTATAAGAAGATCCTATTGAAGTCTGCTTTAAGCAGTTGCTCTTCTTTTTTTTTGGGGGGGGGGAAGGTTTTTGCTATAGGGCACGTGTGTTCGCCAGAAAGACAGCGAGACATAGAGATAGAAAGTGAGAAATCACCCCTTAGGGGGGATGGTCACGCCGCAATCCCTTCTCCTCCATTCTCCTTTTGAGATCTTGGGCGTGTACGCACATGCTTCTGGCATGTTAAGCCACCAGGTCCAGGACTTGAACCCCAGTCAACTACATAGGAGTTTAGAAACGTTGCCATTATGCTAACTGCTGGTCCTGCAGTTGCTCTTCTTTTTAAAAAACAATTTCTCGGGGCCAGCAGATGGCATGGCAGTTACATGGCAGTTATGTCACTGGGCTTCAACATGGCTGACTGCTGTTCAAGTTCCTGACCCATTTTCCTCAAAATCACATGTGTGCCCAGGATCTAGGGAGGAGAATGGATTGCAGTGTGGCCACCCACCTGAGTGGTGATTTCTTACTTTCCCTTTCAGTGTCTCTTTCTCTCTGGCACGCACCCTAAGACAAAAACCTCTTAAGCAAAGCAAAACAAAACAACAACACTTTCCGTCCAGTGCCAAGTAACCCTTGCTCAGAATCAGTTCTGTCTCTCACAGTTGACCTGACTCACACTTGGAACCTTTCAGGGACACTTCTTCAGCAGATGCATTGTTATATTCTTCACAGCCAGCATGGTCTCTGTGCAGGTAGGTTTGATGAGCGTCTCTGGGAGTAAAAATCCAAAATGCCCTGTGTCACGTAGTTCAAAAGCAAATGCATAGGGTATTCCATTTTTGTAGGCCCAGTCCATGGAACTACCAGAGCTCACATCTAAAAGTTAAAAACCAAAAATTTAAAAGAAAGCAAAAGATTAGCCTCACTAAAAAGTCTGAATAATTTTGTAACTGTATATGTATTTATTGTTTACTAAGTTAGACTAAATTCTTCCAGTTAAATGACATTTCAATAAGAATGATTTAATGATTTACTTCCTTGGCATCTGGGTCATTGGCCTTATATATCATACCTTAGGAATCATACTGAAGATCTAGTCTAAATACTAATGCTTTGCCAGTATGATGACCTCAGAATTTCTCAGCCTCAGGATGGTCCAATAGCGCAGTGGTTAAGCACAATGCACAGGGAGCTGGATCCCATATTGCTGACCATGATTTGAATCCTCACACTGGCAGCATGGAAAACACACGGGGTGCACGTGCATGCATGCCCAATCCTGACAGGATGAGAAATGAAGAAGAAAGGATGGTTGTGTGACTGCTCCACCGAGGAGGGGTGCTTTCTTCCTTTTTCTCTGGCAAGTTCATGTTCCCTCTGGCAATATGAAAAAGTAATTTTCTCAGCTTCAATTCCAGCAGTATTCACTTCTATCCTCCCATTACTCCACCCATAAACAACCTAGACCTTGGACTTCTTTGTTTTATTTTTATTTTTTAATTATTTTTTTCATTTCAGTTTCTTTTATACTTTTGATCCCATAATTATTTGTCTTACAAAATGGATATTTCAACAGGTGAACATTTCTCCCTAGTACAGTTGATAAAACTACAAAATATCTTCAACAGATATTTTTTACATTTCTTTGTGCCATTAATGCTTTGCCTCCCTATTTTTCTTCTAAATGTCCTTCCTCAGAACCCTCATATTTCACACACACTATATCTGGTATTTACATCTATATACTGTGTTTCTTTATCCTTTAGTCTGAAACTAATCGACTTCTTCATTTTCTATCAGACCTTTTCTTTTTTTTTCCCCCAAGGTCTAAAATATTGAAATTTGGTTCCCAGAAAACCTCTTTGTTTCTTCTAACTCCTGGTTTCCACTACTACTGAGCTGGTTCTTTGCTGTTACTTAAGTTCATAGTTTCCAGACTCTTCTCTGCCTTCTAGTAGTTGCATTTGACTTTCCACTTGGCTGTGGTCATTAATTCTCTGAATTTTATCATCAGACCTTCAAAATGCCTCATCCATGTCCTTCTGATGTTATTGTTCTGTTTACCCTCAATCACTGGTCCAACTGGAGAAAGTCTTTGCTGAATAGACATCCTACAAAGTCACACGTCAGCGGTCACTGACCCTGCTCCCAGTGCTGCTCCTTCTCATAGTCCTGACCTACTGAACTTTTCCCACTCTCTTCTCATCCTGCCCCTCACTTCGCCACTGTGCTCCACACTCTCCATGATTACCCATCGTCTCCTCTGCTGACATCAGAACCCTAGGACTTTTCTCCTTCCAGCTCATGGGGATAAATGTTGCTCATCTTTTATATGAGTTATTGGTACAACTTGTTATTTGTCTTTACTGATAGTGAGAGTCCTATTTCTAGGATCTTACTTCATTGGAGTTTTTCCTTTCTTTTTTTTTTTGGAGAGGTTTTTGCTATAGGGCACGTGCACTCACCAGACAGAGAGAGACAGAGAGACAGAAAGTGAGAAATCACCCCCCAGGGATGATGGCCATGCCTCAATCCCTTCTCCTCCATTCTCCTGTCGGGATCTTGGGCACGCACACACACGCGCCTGGTGTGAGTTTTAAGCCACCAGGCCTGGGATGCAAACTGCAGTTGACTACGTGGGAGTCCAGCGACATAGCCATTACGCTAATTGCTGGTCCCAGAGTTTTTCCTTTCTTTACCTGCATTGACCAACATGTTTGAAGACCCTTTTCCTACACACTTCCTTCTTGTGATCCTGCTGCACACCCTTGGTCACTGTTCTCTTTCCGTTATTCCTTTTGCTTTAGAACTCAGGAGAGAATCCATACATGCTACTTCTACATCCTCAACCACTCTCATTAAAAAGATTGATGTTTTTTTCAACTGTTTATAAATACATAATGTTGGTAGTAACATAGGAGTAACATGATTTTTTAAGTTCTATTTTTCCCCTTTCAGAGAGACTATTAGAAAACAGTTCTAATAGTTCTGTCTATTAAACGTTTGTCTTGCAGATCATCAGTGACTGCTGGCCTAATCTCCTTTTCTGTTTTTCCTTTTCCCCCTCAGTCCCCGCTTTCAGCCTCTCACAGCATTTCACATAGCTGACAAGCCGTCTGGCAACAAGCTGCCTGGCTCCTGCGACCTCACACTCTACAGAACTAAAAGCACAGGCAGGAGAGACCGCCTGCATGGGTGGGATCCAAACCCACTGCCTACACTGTGACTTCTCTGTTCCTTAGTCTCCCTTTTTGACAAAGGGGATGATGATAATATCTGCTGCATATAGTTACTGTGAAAATGAAATGAAGTAATAAATTGCTTGAAAGTATGTAGGATGTATTAGCTGTTATTATTTTGCATCTTTATAGCGCAAAGTGCAAAGTATGCAGTTTTCAGAATAACAATAAAAATCCTTTAGTAAGTGAATACGTGTGTCATAGAAAAATCTTTGTATACTTTTCTCTGAAATTTATATGATACAGTTTGATATAATAGTCTTGCAATTGTTATTAAATTTCCAGGTCGCGTTAATTTAACTCAGATAATATCTTTGTCTTTGTTGAGTTAGAGATGAAATCATTATGTGACAATGACAACTAAATGACTCTGCTGTTTCTCAGATTTCCTTTGCCTCCATTAAGGACAGAAGGTGGGCTGTGGCTTTGCTGTCCCTCTGGTTGGAGTACATTGGAACTACAAATAGTAGTCATAGTAGCCAAAGTCAGAGACAGGATGTGCCAACAGTTACATCATGGAGATGTGATAGCCTCATTTCTATGGTAACAGATTGTTCTCAGTAAATATAATGCTACGACTGTGTCTTTAGACCAAGCTGAAAAGGTGAAATGTTAGAATTTTAAAAATTAATGTTTTTTTACTTGTTTATAAAACCATAATGTTGGTAGTAACTGGTACAAGCAACGTGATTTTTAAAGTTCTATTTTTCCCCTTTCAGAGAGACTATTAGAAAACAGTTCTAAAATGGTCAGTATGAGATGAATGATCAGGGGTTGTTTAAAAAAGAAAAAAGTCTATTGTTACTATGACATTCCCTTTATTAGGATAAATGTATTCGGCAAGCAATGTTAACTGATGAATTAAGCTTTTGTTTTGAAGGCTAAAGAAGTGAATGGTAAGACATTAGGAATATAATGATAGATCGATTACAGACGTCAAAGAGAAATGTATTCCCTTGCTGAGCAGCAGAGGTCATTATCTATATACACTCATATGATGTGCTTTACCTTCACATGCATATGTGGCCATACAGAAAAACATGATTTCTCACTTGATTTTCAAAGTAATATAGTCAGTGAATTTTAGAGTTTGAAAGGCCATGTGAAGTGATTCTGTCCAATTCCTCATGTTACAGTCATGGAAACTAAGTCCAGAATTAGTAAATACGTTGGCCAAGATGACACCCTGGCAGAATTAGGACCAGAATCCACATTTTATAGTTCTTTGCCCAGGTTCTTTCCATGTACTTAGTTGCTCTTTATTTCATATAAAAGAAGAAATATTTTTAACCACATTTTAAGAGAAAATTCAGCTGAAGTTGCTATGTAAGAAATAGCATTTCAGAGCAAGAATAATGGAGGAAAGAAATAAAACGGAAGTTGTTGTAAGGCTGAAACATTTACTTCATTATCTTCTCCAGGCCCATTTCCACTCTTATAGTAGTTACAATTGTTCTAGAAGCTCATTTTGGTACTTTCTACTGTCATAAGATCTCAATTCAACTTGTAGTCATTATTGCATATTAGCATACTCTCTGCTTAGAATTTTGTTTAAATTGGTACAATGATTTCTGCCAAGCTGTGTAAAACTAATCAGATAAAAACTCCTTGCATCTTCCTTGGCTAATTTGATAGTCAAAAATTTCACGTTGGGGAGAACACACTTTCTCCTTTTTATAGAGAAGTTATTATACAGGATATTGGCTCAAGACAGATGGTTTAAACACTATGTACATGGGAAACTTACACAATGTTCTGGAGGCAGGTCCGTATCTGTATCTTACTCCATATACTGACCGAAGTGCATTCACAGCTTTATAAGCTGCAGATTCCTATAAGAGGAAATGGAGAAATCATGTCACTTATATTGTTGCATTGAAACATTTACAAACACTGGCCTTGAATGAGCCTTATTGGTCATCGACATGGAGAACAACTATGGGAACATTAGTTCACAGCTACATTTGATAATAATATATTACTCTTAAATCACATGCTTCAGTTTGCGACATGTTTTAGAATACATCATTTTATTTGATTGATCCTTATAATGAGCCAGGATCAGTAGTTTCCATTTTACAGATGAGAAAACAAAGAGTCAGCCAGGTTAAGTGGGTGGACTGAAGTCGCATAGCAAAGAGTGGTTGAGCTGGGATACTTATATATTTTGATGTCCATTTAGTGGTGTTCTCTTCACTTTAGTTAAGAGACACTTATTTCTATAAACTACAAAATGTTCGACAGGGCAAGATCCATGTCAGTCTTACTCATAGAGTTACACTCAGTGCTTAGCAATGTGCCTGTATATAACAGATGCATAATTAATATTTCTTGTATGGATGCTGAATAATCATAAATCTGCAGGAGTAGTAAGATAATAGTATTGATTCTTAAGTATATAAGGGATCTTCAGAAAGCTCATGAAAAACGCTTATTATGAAAAAAACTAGCATGGATTTTAAGATTTTTTTTTTTGCACTAAAATAAGCTTGTGTTTTAATTCCATTTTCCTATGAACTTTTTGAAATTCTTTTCTATATCTCAGTGGATATGTACAAAGTATTTAAAACGCAGATGAATTGGTTAAGAAGCACTTTAATTCCGCAAGAATTGTTTTAATTATATATGTGTCTGTCCTTCCTGGGAATAGAAATCACAATTTCATGACTTGTATTCCTCTGACAAGGCTTGGGCAGGTATTGTGAAGATGCAGAAATTCTGAGATGGCATTCTTGCTCCCAATGCCAAAAATGGGGAAAAATACTTAATGTAATCAACATGCTCAAAGGCAGATATTCCAACATTGGTTAGATTGGTATTCTCACTTAAAACATTTCCAAATGAAGAAAAGCACCAGTTTCAATAAGAAATTAGAGAGGTATTGTATGACAAGAGAGAGGAAAAGCAGTTGAAACCAGTATCCGACTCTCCTATTTCATTCTGTCTCTGAATAATTCACTGCTTTCACTGGAGCACTCTAGACAACATGGTGGTGTGTGTCGGACTGAGCTTCAGGTTGCTCTCCTCGTTGGCTCAAGGATGCATAAGGCAGTCCTTGCAAGTGCCACCCTTTGTGGCTATTCAGGGACCAGCCTCCAGGAGCTGGCAAGCTATTTATTATTGATTTCACTGATGATGACGTTGTTCTCACAGGAGCCAGCACGAAAGGAACGTAAACACCATAATGAGGTATCTTTATGGAGAATGTTCCAAGATGTTAACATCTTCTCCAATGCTCTGAGCAATATCCCATGGCAAGGACAGATATTTCTACATTTAGATGATTACTGCATTCTGCTGGCGAGGACCTTTGTTCCTCATTATTTCAGATGACTAAACCCAAGAAAAAAGCTATTAAAAAAAAAAAAGTAGCCACTTTGCCTGTTTACACAAAGCATGAGCACAGCGATAGCTTTCTGAGCTCACTACGGCTGCCATCTGAGTACACATGCATGTTGATAAGGGGCTCAGATGTAATCTACCTACAAAATGTGGAAACTTTATCAACTTTTCCAAGAATTATTTTCCAGGGAGGCCCCAGCAGACATCTGTTGGAAAGAGTTAATGAAAGTGATTCCTTCTATCTACATTGTTTCTTTTTTTTAATTGCACAAAAGGACCTTGGCCTTTCCTATTTGTCTTTGGACAATTAAGGGGAATGTTTTTATGCACTTCCATTCTTTTTTTTTTTTTTTTAGAGGTTTTAGCTCTAGGACATGTGTGCTTGCTGGAAAGATAAAGAGACGGGAAGTGAGAAATCACCCCCCAGGGGTGGCGGTCACGCCACGCTTCTCCTCCATTCATCTTCTTGGAGTCTGGGGGCATGCACGCACACGTGCCTTGTGTGAGTTTAAGCCACTGGGTCTGGGACTTGAACTGTGGTTGACTTCATGGGAGTCCACCGACGTAACCATTACACCATCTGCTGGTCCCCATATGACCATTTCAAAACAACATAATGAATGACCTAAAAATGTTAGCAGGAACATAGATTTTACATAGTGATAGGTTTTGTAACAATTTAAATTGAATGGTTTCTGGTTAACATTCAGGAACTGCCTACCTAGTTTCTAAGAATTACAATTTCTTACAAGTTTGTTTATTTATTTCTTTCATGAGCAAGAGAGACTAAAGAGAAAGAGACAGCACCCCTAAAATGCTTGATGCTGTTCTGCTTCTCCTGCTCTGCCCTTCAGCTCAACCAGCTCCAGATCACAGACACTTGTGTGCCTGACATACTCAGAGAGGCCTCTTGATGTGAGCCCAGAATGTACCCATGTGGGTCAGCCTCCCATTTTCACTGCTGTGCCACCATCCAGTGCCTACAATCTTAATTATAATGATTTAGCATATGCTTAAACCACTCCAAGATTTCTCCATGATGACACTATTGACATTTTAGACAGCATAATTCTTTGCTGTGAGGAGCTGTCCTATTTAGCAACATCCTAAAATCTACCCACCAGATGCCAGTAGCATCCCTTTACCCCTTTGTGACAATTAAAAATGTCTCCAGACATTAATAAATATCTATTGGGAGGTAAATTCATCCTTGACTTGAACCACTGATCTGTCTTGGATCTTCTAATCCAAGACAAAAGGACAATAGGCTTAACTCACAGAGGGAAGATCAATTTAATATATGGAGAACATTTTCATGTAATAGATTTTATATATTGCATATGCCACAGAATCTGTTGTAGGAATATAAATAGACCTCTAAGAAAGGGCTGAACGTTTGCCTATAGAAATATTGATACAAGGTGGTAAGGGTGCCAGGTTAACAAAAACAATGGTGGCAGCAGCAGCAACAGCAATAAAACCAAGAAGAATATCTATTGTACCCACATTGCAGCTGAAGAATAAGCACTACAGAATATAACTATCATCTTTAGCCTTTACAATATTTCTCGAGAGGGAATTTGCTCAGAATCCTTGGAATGCCAAGAACAAAGTTGCTCTTGAGGACAGAATAAAAGCCTTCCTCAGTCCTTCTTCTGACTTCCTCACATTCCTCATTCCTTTCAAGTCTTGGACATCTAGAGCAGAATTTCTGAAATCCTAAGCAATTGGGGCAGGATTGAGTTCAAGACACAGGGAGAAAAGGAATGTTCCTTATTTATGATTTATTTTAAATTTAAAAAGAATTATTATTTTCTTCTTATTAAAAAAGAAAGCAAGAGGAAGAGATCTGCACCCCCAACAGGGTCCCCATGTTGAAATCTACCCTCGTCCAGCCCAGATCATGGACATGCATGTACCAGGTGTGTTCAGGGAGGTCTTGGGATATGAACTGAGGACAATAGCCTGTGGATCCAGTTGCTCCACAGCTGTACCACTGACTAGTCTCTTCTTTTTTTTTTTTTTAAAGGTTTTTTTTTTTAATTTTTATAATTAAGAGAGTTATTTTGCTATAGGACATGTTTCCAAGCCAGAAAGACAGAGAGAGACAGAGAGACAGAAAGTGAGAAATCACCCCTCCGGGGGGATGGCACGCTGCAATCCCTTCTCCTCCACTCTTCTCTCAGGATCTTGGACACACATGCACTCGTGCTCAGCATGAGTTTAAGCAACTGGGTCCAGGACTCGAACCGTGGTGGCCTACACGGGAGTCCAGTGACATAGCCGTTATGCCAACTGCTGGTGCCAAAGGTCTTTTAATTCAAGTATCACATTGTGTGTGTATGTTTTTTTGTTTTGTTTTGTTTTCTTTTCCTTTTTTTTTTTTTTTTTTTTAGAGATTTTTACATAGGGACATGTGCATTTGCCAGAGAGACAGAAAGTGAGAACCCCCCTCCTCCGGGGGTGGGATGGCCATACTGTAATCCCTTCTCTTTCATTCTCCCCTCAGGATTTTGGGCATGCATGCACATGTACCTGGTGTGAATTTTAAGCCACTGGGTCCAGGACTTGAACCGGAATCCAGCAATGTAACCATTATGCCATCTGCTGGTCCCCACATTGTATTCTTTAAAAAAATAAATATTCCATCTCTGTCCTTGAATCCTGACAAACAGTTCTTAAAAGTCCTTGGAATTTACAGAGTGTTTTTTGTATGCTAATGAGTTGACTGGTAGCTAGGAGTCCCTATATAACTTCAGATGGGGCTAGTGACCAAAAGAGCAAACCATGTGATTAGAAGGTTGGAACTTTCTGCCTCGTTCCCCAGTATCTGAGGAGAGAAGCCGCTAGAGATGGAGTTCAATCTCCAGTGGCCAATTATTGAATCAGTTATGCCTATGGAGTGAAACCACCATAAAAATCTCTAGGCAATGAAAGGGGAGTTGATAGTGACACAGTGGTAAAAGGTGGTGCTCTGTGAAGCAGTCACACATGGGAAGGCTCCTGGTTCATGGCTGGGACCTACCTGAGTGTCCTGGACATACACGTGTTCATGATCCAGAGCTGGCTAAAAACTGGACATGGATCATGATATCAGGATCCTACTGGGGGTGATGTCTCTCTGTCTTTCTCCTACTTGTGGAAGAAAGAAAGAGATAAAAATAAAAAGATCCCCAAACAATGGAGCTTGGGGTACTTCCAGGTTGGTGAATACATCCAAGTGCTGGGGACTGGTGCACCTGGAGAAGGCATGGAAGCTCTGCAGCATCCCACATGTCTTCCATTCGGCAGTTTCTGAGTTGTGTGTTTTATAGCAAACTGGAAATTGTCAATAAAACACTTTCCTAAGCTCTGTGAGTCATTCTAGTAAGTTATCAAAACTGAGGTGGGGGTGGTAGGAGTCTGAGACTACGTAGCCATGTCAGATATAAGTGTAGGTAACCTGGGAACTCCCTACTTGTGACTAGTATCTGAAATGGGGGACTTCTTATGGGACTAAGTCTTAGACTCGTGAAGTCTGATGCTAACTCTGGGTAGTGTTTCTCACTATGGAAAAGAGTTGCTGGATATCTGCTACTGTCGGAGAGATGGTGTTGGAAATGATACAATGCATTTGGTGTTGGGAAGAAGAAAACCTCTCAAATGTAAATATAGAAGAGGACACAGATTTTAAATTTATGGCTCAACAAATGGTCACAAATTGAATTCATTTATATTCCCATCATTCAGGTCAAGGAAGAGAACACTAGCAGCAAGCCATAAACCCCACTGTGCCTCTCCCAATCATTGAACCTGCTCTGTGTTCTACAAAGGTGGTTTCTGTCCTGACTACTAGTGCTCTGTATCAGTTTTTCTTGATTTTGAACTTTATAGGTCTTTAGATGCTATGATGCTATAGGCTCTGAGATGACCCACTTAACAATGAATTACGCCCTACAGTGAATGGCTTGTTGGGTTTCTGAGATAAGGAAAGTAAGGGGCTCTACTTTCTCATTTTCAAGTAATCCTGTGTCAGAAAATCAGTTCATTCTTAGTACTAACTTGTCCGATACATGCCTAGAGACTTAGTAGCATTAAGCAAATAGCACTTATAAATTAAAACTTGCTTTTAATTAATGAGAGTCAGACTATAATTTATGAACAATTATTTACTCAATAAAGTTAATTACAGTCCTGCACATGTGACTGAAGCTGTAATACTAATCAAATTCATCCTGACATTTTCCATATAATCTGTGGTGAGAATGCAAATAAGTTTGAAATGATTGCATTTGAGGAGCAGCACAGTAGTCAAAAGCAACAACTTTGGGGCTAGACCTGGAGCTGACTTCTGGCTGAGATACTTAATCTTTCTGTGTCTTGGTTTCCTCATCTGTAAAATGGGAATAACAAAAGTTATCTCATGTAATTGTTCTGAAGAATCAGTGAGTTAATAATATGTAAAATATGTATTAGCATTAACATTATGTTGGTTGTTATCATTAGTATTAGGAACCATCTTAGCATCAGAAAAGGAAGCATGAAGCCTGATACACACACAGGGTCTAATACTTACCACACAACTAAAATTAGGGATTGTTGCGTATTTGTAAGAGTAGGGATAAAGCAACATCTGAGCATAGGCATGAAAGGAGAGGTAAGCCCTAATGTGCTTTCTGTGTTTTCGAAGAAAGTTAGCTACAGCCTTCACTTCTGGCTCAGATTCTGGGAAAGGACCACAGTATGTATCATCACAAGGGTGCATAGAAGCGCCTTCATCTGCAAGTTAGGAAAAAAGAAATAGGGTGGGGGAGTGGGCAGGGAAAAAGCAAGAAACACAAATCAGTGTTGTTAAACTATTATTTTCCTTTTATTTCTGCATATACATGGTATTATTAAGTGATTTACATAACTTATTTATGGAAATCAATGCTGAAAATTCCAATTTAACTCAAGCCCCCAAGCATAGTAGGGGGACCTAAATGGGAACCAGATATTGACTAATTAATCCTGTGCAAACCACACTAAAGAAACAGCTCTTTCAGATGTCAGTTCTTTTGCTAGAGAACAAATTTCATACACTCCCCAAGGATAGGTTAGGCCTCTCATTGACATGCTCCACAAAATCTGTACTTTCTCTTCATAATATTCAACACATTTGTAATTAGTTTTCAATATCTACTCATTTAACATTCATATAATAGTCACATGGTTCTAGGTGCCTGGGACACACTATGAACGGCAGAAAACAATCCCTATTCTACCAGAAATTACATCTGATCTGGATTCCTTATCAGACTCCAATGCTCTTTGAAAGCAGGGTCTGCATCTTTCTTGCTGGCAGCTAGAACAATGATAAAGCAAGCGTCCAACAAATATTTGTTGAGTAAGTCAATGCCTGATAAAACGAAAAGGCGAGACATCTGCAAGGGTGATTGATATAGCAAGAACATGAAACCAGGCTAGATATAATTAATTCTGCAGAACACACCTAACAAATTTCTAATATATTTTTAGATTATCGATATCCATATTGGTTTTGTAAAACCCCAGTTCTCTGATTATCTTGGGGGCCAGTTACTTTCAGTTAGGACATCTTTAGAAATAAATTTTAAGAACTTTTGAATTTAAAAAATCATTGTACAGGGAATATTTATCAAGAGGTCTATGGAGGGGAGAAAAGAAAATGGTGGGGATTGGTGATCAATAAGAATCACTAGAGCAATCACACACACACACACAGTCATGAAGTATTTCAACCCTAAGAAATTTGGGAAATAATTGCATTTTCAATAGTCATTTGCCATTCTGGGCCATTACTATCCCTCCTCTACCTCTAAAATATAATAACTCTCGTCATGATGAATGGTAAATGTTTGATGGTTTTGTGATATAGTCTATGTCTAGAGAACATGACAGGACAACCAAGTTAAATTAGCTTAAATATACACATATATATATTTATATATAAAATGTATTTGTCTATTTCTTCCATGACTGTGGGAGTGGGAGAGTGGGAGAGAGAGAGAAGGTGCTCCCCATGGGTCCTCAGCTGCAATCCTACTCCCTCACTGAGCCAGCCAGGATGATGAGCATGCTACACAGGGAGACCTTGGGACATGAACTCAGGACCCATGACCTTGGCATTGCAGAGCATGCAGTACTGCTGTGCCACTGCAGCTGCCTCAGGATGCTAAGTGTAGTTTACGCTACAGGAGAAGCAAGAGTGAAAATAGAGAACTTATAGCAATTGGAATTTCCCTCCATTTAAAAGTTTTTTCCTTATGATAAAATGTGTGCAAACGAGAGAGAGAATGAGAAAAAGAAGCACTCTCTAGAGTCTGGTCACACTGTGATCCCCTTCTCCGTGTCAATAGGCCTGTCAGATTGTGGGCACTTACACATGTGTCTGGTGTTCAGGCTGACCAGGTTGGGGATTTGAACCATGATCAGCATATGAGATCCAGCTTTTCCCAAACAGTGCAGTACTGCTATACCATGGAACCAGCCCCAGAATTCCCTCTGTGAATCTCATTCTGAGGTGCCTCAGAAGTAAGCAGGATATGAATGGAACTGAGAACATAATATCAATTATTGCTGATACTCTGAAGGAAACAGGAGAGAGATTCCTGCGGAACAGTGATGTAAAGCCCTGGAAAGGAAAGGTCACCAACTGAACAGCTAATTCCAGAGGGAGCAGAGCTAATGAGCCAGAGAAAACAAGGTTTAACAATGATCCTAATAAATATTCTCAAGGGCATTTAGGAGGACATCAGCAACAAACAAGGAGAAGGAGTCACACAGAGAACCAGTCAGATTATACTAGAAATAAAATCCTTAATTCATGGGTCAAATGAATACAGAGGATGAATGATCTCATGAGATGGAGTGGGGTTTGAAACATTTCTCCAAGACATCAGGAAGGAAGAAAGAACTGGGAAAACAAGACAAAAATGAAAGGATATAAAACAGAATAAGTAGGGACCAGCAGTTACCATAATGACTATGTTGCTGAACTCCCATGTAGTCGACAGTGGTTCCAGTCCCAGATCCGGTGGCTTAAACTCATGCCAGGTGCATGTGTGTGCATGCCCAAGATCCCGAGAGGAAAATGGAGAAGAAGGGATTGCGACATGGCCATCCCCCCTGGGGGATGATTTCTCGCTTTCTGTCTCTCTGTCTCTCTCTGTCTTTCTGGTGAGTGCTTGTGCCCTATAGCAATTGGGGAGTGCTTGTGCCCTATAGCAAAAACCCCTGCAAAAAAAAAAAAAAAAAAAAAGAGTAAGTATCAATATGTGGTAAATAGGGGAGCTAGAAGGAAAGAAAAGAAAATAAATAAATATTTAAAGAACTTCTAGTTAAAATTTCTCTACAATTAAGAGTGAACAGACTTATTGTGTTCAGAGAGAAAGAGGAACCTATCAACACTTTGACACATTATAGTGAGATGGGAAAAAAGGAAGCAATTCTAGAGAAAGAAAAGCAGGTTATTTAGAAAGGAACAAGAACCAGATGCGCCTTGGACTTCTCAACAGCACACTAAAGTAATATTTCCAAGTATTATTTTTTTAAGTCTGTTTCTTCCCTGAGTGAGTGATACAGAGATACAGACAGATAGATAGCACCTACAAAAGGTCTTTATGTTGTGATCCACCCCAACCTTCAACCAGCCCCAAATCACAGGCATGTGTGTATCTGGCATACTCAGAAAGGTGTCTGGATGGGAACCTGCATTGTTTCCGTGGGAGTGGGCCCTGTAGAGTGTGGAGTTTTACTACTTGCCATTGTTGCTCACCAATCCCCTCCAAAGGACTTTATTTTTATTTTTTTATTTTTTATTTTTTCATATTTGCTACAAGGAGCATGCATTCACTGGAGTGAGATAAAGAGACAGAGAGACATAGAGGGAAAGTGAAGAGCATACCCCCCAGGGGGTATGACCACACTGCAATCCCTTCTCCTCCTTACTCCCCTCGGGATTTTGGGTACACATACAAATGCGCTCGGTATATTTTTCATGCTGCTTGATCTGGGCCTCAAACAGTGCAGTTGTCTATATGGAAATCTAGGCACCTTAACCACCACACCACCTGCCTATCCCCAAAGTACATATGTATGTATGTATTTATTTAAAGAGTTTTTGCTTTAGGGCATGTGCACTCACTGGAGAGAGACAGAGAGAGGGAAAGTGAGAAATCATCCCCCAAGAGGGACCACCACACTGCGATCCCTTCTCCTCCAGTTTCCTCTCAGGATTTTGGGGCATGCACACACACACACACACTGGGGCGTGCACACACACACACACACACACACACACACACACACACCTGATGTGATTTTCAAGCTGCCAGCTCTGACTAGAACCGTATTTGGCCATGTGGGAATCCAACACCCTACCCACCATACCACCTGCTGGCCCCAAACTCATGACCTTTTGAAATCCCTTTTACATGTACAGAACTGTGAAATCTTTTAATCTAAATTTCAAACATTTGCATCATTCTAAAAAATGACCCTCACACTAATTAGTAGTCAATCTACATTTCTCTTCCTTTAGCCTCTTAACCAGGAAGGGTTAAGCCATGGTCATATTTTTATTTTACATTCATCTTGTAAAAGTTTATAAGCTAGATTTGTAGCAGGCAAGCCTATAACTGGGAAGACCAAATTAAGGTAGGATTATAACAATCCAGGCTAGAGCTATAATTAGGAAAGTGGTTTTAGGAACAGCTTCAAGGGTATCCATTTAAAAACTATTCTGGGGACTGGATGATGGCACAGCAGTAAAATGTACACTCTGCAAGGCTGACCCACATGGGACGGTTCGAGATCTGCATCTGGAGATCTCCCTGAGCTTGCTGCATACATGCCCACGATCTGGGACTGGCTGAGAATGGAGGTGGATTGTAATGTCAGGACCCTGTTGGGGTGCTGCCTCTCTCTCTCTCCCCATATCTCTGAGTCAAGGAAGAAATAAATAAACTTTAAAACAAGAATTATTTAATTTTATTTATTATTATTTAAAAAATTTCCTACAGGGCACATGCACTTACCAGAGAGAGAGAGAGAGAGAGAGAAAGTGAGAAAGCAAAAATAAGTCTCCAGCTCTGGTACTTGAACCATGCTGGCCATATGGGTCTCCCGTGCCTGACTTGCCATGTCACCTACTGGCCCCCAAATAAGTAAACTTTTACAAATTTTACATTATTTATTTATTTATTTTTGAGAGAGATTTTTGCTAAAGGGCAAGTGCACTCACTGGAGAGCAGAGACAGAAAGCGAGATATCACCCCCCTGAGAGGATGGCCATGCCACAACTTCTCCATTCTCCTCTTGGGATTGTGGGCATGCACATACACACACCCGGCATGAGGTTTAAGCCACCAGGTCCAGGACTTGAACTATGATCAACTACGTGGGAGTCCAGTGGTGTAACCATTACGCCATCTGCTGTTAACAATAATTAAACATTTAAAAAGTAAATATTCAGATTATTAAGCTAACTGGACTTGGTGATTGGTTGGATATGTAAGGCAAAGAAGGGAGGCTTTGACTACACCCTGTAATTCTGGGTGGGCTAGCTGATTTGATAGCAATTTTACTGATTGAAGTACCAAATCGATGAGGAGGAACATAGGCATGTAGGCAGAAAAGGAAGATGATGAATTTCATTTTGGGCCTGTGGAGTTTGAAAAGCCTCTGCCTAATAAGGTATGGGATGTGAATATGAAGCTAAGGGAAATATTAGGCTAGAGAAAAAGATCTGGGAGTTATCA